GTGACCCCTACAGAACGTTACTTGGCCTCTACAGATTGTCATTAATCGGAAGTCGAAAATTCCCTTCTGTTGACTCACACTGTGAGAAGCGAAGGCACTCTCGGAAGACAGGCCATTCAAAGCAAATAACTGTTGGCAGGCTGCACATTACTGCCTCTTTTGAATGCTGCTTAGAGACAAGCCAGTGACCGGATGGCTTCAAATTTTGCAATTTTCTACAGCATCAGTTGCTTTTGATAAAAAAAAGAAGGTCTATCATCTTCGCTTCTTCTCGCCCGTATTTAAAGGAAACACTTTATGAGAGCAGACCGTCCGAGCAATCGGTGCAGCTACTGGGTGTTGGTGATGTTACTGGGATGCTCGCACATTCCAAGACCAGCTACGCCAGACTTTTTGCTTTTTGACCTCCAACTGGCACCTGCTGCCTCCAAAAAAATGTTTATGCGCCAGAAGAGGAAGACACCCAAAGAATTTATTGCAGCAAATCCAAAATAAATCTACTCAAAGCAATTAAAACGATGAAGAAAGATGCAAAATTCCAAAAAAAAAAGAAATAAAAAATACAATAAAGCCATAATACCTTCGATACAAGAAAACTACGTGATGCATTACAATAACTCGAAAGATGCTGCTATCATTAAAAGCTATGTGATATGTGTCAGCAGAATAAAGAGGTATTTTCTCCGCTTATACAATAACATAAACATCTCTCTCTCTCTCTTTCACAACCTTTGCGAAAAAACCAGTTTTCAAGCAAATTTCCACAGAATAACCTAAGATTCTTTCGGAGATGCAGTGGAGGGGATAAGGATTGTCCTTAAGAAATTTTCGGCGGAGGACCTTTTTAGCAGTTTCTAAAGTAACAGGAAAAAACCTTTTTTTCTGATACAGAAAACAAGTGCCAAGAAACGCAACGTTAAAGAGAATTACTTATCTCTTCCTTATTCTCGTGGCTAATGGATTTATATGGACAGGTCACGAGACGAAAAGAGCAAGGGCTGGGACCAGAGGAGGGACAAAATTGAAGTTCTGCAATGAATACAGTGCGAAACTTTGAACCAGTTTTCATTTCAAAATGAATTCTAACTGACTGTTACGTCAAACTCAATTAAAATTTAAATGAAACTGCCGGTTTTTAATCATATTTCCGGGGAGTTAATTCATATCTCTTGATAGCTGCTAGCTGCAGGGCTGGAAAACCGGGTTACGAAAGTAGCTGAACCGAGTTCCCCAAGAGTAACCCGTGTCTCCGGCTCTCAGTCCCTTCACTTTCTTCTTGACCTGTCCAGCATTTCAGAGCATTGGAATGACTTTATAGTGTTAAAATATTAAATGAAATAACTACCCGACTAATGCCAATAATATCGAAAATGATAATCAAAGAAAAATGTACATGAATGATTGAAAGATAATGCTCAGTAACTGATTACAAGACAGTCTGCAAGTCAATCAAAACCTCCAAATCTTGGAAGATTCCCAGCACAGCCATCCGTGCAACGGAAAATAAAAAGATCCCAATGAAAATATATGAAACATGCGATCTTGGCATGCACAGGTCTGCAACTGATTTGCTTCACAAGACACTATCCAAAAACTGAACAGTCTAATACTTCACAGTAAAGAGAAGCAGCCAACATTTCACAGCAAAAAAAAGAAGCTGTGCAGGCCTGTGCGTTCTAAATTAATAAAAACCAAATAGACTAATACAGTGCAGCAAAAACAAGCCAAATAAGCTTAGGAAAAAGAGAGCAAATACGCCATTTCCAAGCTAGAAAGTACGGATTGTCAAGCAACAGCACTTGTTCCTTTTTACCAAAAGTGCACCCCTTGTGAAAGTCGGCGGCATTTGGCAAAATACTGTCAGTCAGTGGAACAAGGTGCCCAGGCGCCTTCCCTTTCACCTCTTATTGAATCGTATTAGAAGCGCTATGCACAGATTAATATCATTCAATTTAAGGATTTTACTATGAAAGTAACCAAACTTGGAAGTGCGTGTAAGGGTCGTTTCCCCTAACAAACGTTTCCGGATCCGTACATCTCATTGCTCGATAATAGTGCAATTAAAATTTAATCTGATAACAGTGCAAAGTATCATAGACAATATGAAAGAACTCTAAAAGATTAAGCAAAAGAAAAAACCTAGCATAAAAAGAAGCCTAAAAGCGTGCTGAAAAATAACTACTTACAAATACCAGTGAACGGCAATGTAACCGAAATAAGACTGGAACCCCCTTCCGTTAAACATTCCTCATGAAAGGCTGAGGCGCTGCGAAATAGCTTGCGCCAATGGCAATCAGCAAAGCTTTCGATGGCGCCTTCAACAAGTGACTGTGACTTACTAGCATCCGGCAGTATCAATTTAAAATCGGAACCAATGAACAAATGGAACAGGAACGACTGTTTATCGAGTGCTCAACTTCTCAGCTACTCGCTTCTGTGCTTTGCTTGCCAGCAACCACTGGAAATGGTCGAGGGAAATAGTTTACCTTAAATTTTTGCACTTCAGCGAACCCCCTCCCCCTTACTCCACTAATAAAAAATAGAGTTCTCTCCCAGAACATGTTGCTCAATGGGTAGTCAATCCCTCTGAAATGTCTCGTATTTCGTTCCCGTGAAAGACTCCTCCTCAAGCACTCACTCACAAAACTCTCTTGATGGTCCCCTCTGTTGAGGAATAACTGAAAAGCACAATTTCTTGCTGCTACGCCGGTAACTGCCTAGTACTGGCGACACACGCCACTTATAAATAAG